TTTATGCCTACAAGTAGTCACTTCAGTGGCTTTCACTAAATAAAAATAGCAGGGATCTAGATTCTAGACATTGGCAAATATCACCCTGCTAACTTAAATTACAGAAAATTGCAATTTGCAGGCAGAAATAATTCTTGTAGGAAGAAACACATCTAATGAACAGCAATAAATAATGGTAACCATTAGGCATTACAAAGATATCTAGAAAAACCTGGTATTTGAGCTGTGAACCATTAAGCCCCCAATCTGCATCTTAGTTGGCTTAAAAATCCATGTCACCCACTGTTTTTCTACACTTGCACGGCATACACAGGAAAATATCCCAGTTTTCAAATGATACTTTCTTTGGTCACAAGCTTATGCAAGAACTGTTACCTAGAATCACAGAAGAGTTGCAAAGGACCACAAGGATCCTCTAGAGAAGCCTTCTGCAAGGCAGGAATCTTTTGCCCAACTTGTGCTTCTTATCTTTTTTCCAAGTAAGACAATCAAGACAAAGCTAGAACACTACATCCCATAAATAGCAAAAACAAAACAAGACAAAACAAGGTGGGAGAGGCAGCAGTTCTTAGCAGCCCCTGGAGCTGAGATAAGGATGCCCCTGAGCTTCAGTACTAGGCATTCCAGAGCATTGTTTTTCTCCCTGAAATATTCAAAATCAGGTTGCAATATACCATAATGGGCTAAAAGTCTTTCCTCTAATTTTGACAGAAAATTAGTTTTACATGACTTCTGGATTTTTCTTTGAACCATGACGGTGTTCAGCCAAGTGAAACTAATTGTACATTATGTGAAAAGTTCTGGAGACTTTTCTCTGAGTCTTTAGAAACAGATGTTTAATTATGACACTGTAACAAACATCTCTGAATTGCTTAATTTACAACACTTAAAGGCTTAAAGATGCCTAAATATGTCATTCAGAATGCAGCATTTTTTCTTCAATTAATTTTCTGAAAGTTTACAAAATTTGTACTAATTCTCTGTAACTAGATATGTTCTGGATCTAGTCTCAGAGAATCTGTATAGAATACACATTTGAAACATCTTTAAAACTAAGCAAAAACATCTTTCTATTATGCTGCAAGGCAAATGATTTTTAGATGTTTTGCATTTTTATGCTAAATAGAGCAGCTGCAATTGATAAAAGGCAATCAAGCTAATTCAAGTCAATCAAGTCCAGGAGGTTTTCAACCCTTGTTTAAAAATGCTCTCAGCTCTCATATTCATTTTTTAAATCTTTCACCATACATAGTGAGGAGTTTTGTTGGTTTGAAGCTGTGATGATTCAACCCAAGCCTTCTGTATTGGGCCAATGTTTTTTTCCTCACTGTACTCCTCAAATTAAGTAAAACAACCTTGAGTCAAGGCCAATTCGCACTTCATGCAATAGACTTGTTTGTCATGTTGAGCGCCATCAAGTGTCATGGAGAGCTGAATGCAAGCTATGGTTACACACCAAGGAACTTGTCAGCAACAGCTTTCAATGCCACTACTGCAGATAGGCATTCCCATCTCTTGTTTTCTTTTTTTAAAAAACAACAACATTTTTTATTAATTTTTCATTAATAACATTCCAATATGGGCCACATGGCATATCCATTTCATACTCCATTATGTTCACCAGGAATAACGCAGGATAAGCAAGGCAAATATGTCTCCTTCACATCCAGGTACAATGCAAATCGATATCTGTGGTACCCAAGTGAAGAGGCAATTCTTTCATAATAATCTCCCTGTGGCCAATGCCTGATTGACAGCAGCGCCCTTCTAGAGATCTATTAAGGTATGTCCACATAGCAGGTGCCCACACACTTCACTTGGCAATTAAATACATGATAGGCCACCCCAAGGGGTATCTACTACTTGACTTGCTTGGACTCTTAGCTCATCCTCAACGTCTTGCATTGGGTTACAGTCAAAGGCTAAATAATCTGACAGACAAAATATATGCCACAAATATTCAATAAAAGCAGTATCATAATACCAGACAATTCAAACACATGCCTCTTTCCATTCCTGACTAAACCTGTCCACTATAGACCTGCTCAGATAACATACTCTTATAATTTTCCAGGGCATCCTCAGGTTACAGCTTTGGTTGTGATTAATAGCCTCCTTTGATGAGAAGATAAGGCTGAGCCAGTACCAGGAATACCTACTTTTAAAAGCCCACATGTGTCAGAATTATTAGAATTGTGTTTGCTGTTAAAATTTAGGTACTGTTTATTTGGTCAAGTATAGATAGCTACATAATAAAAGCAACGGTCAGAAGTACTACAAAAAAAATGTCTATCTGTTTTCCCTGCTTGGCACTAACAATATAGCCTTAGTGATATCCTGGATTCTGGAAAATTGCCTGAACACTTACACATTCAGATACCGCTCAACATAGAGTTGCCATATGTCCAGATTTCCCTAGACATATCTGGGATTCAAAGAACAAAACTAGAGTTGGGGGGGTGTTTTAAAAAAGTCAAAATGTCCAGAGGTTTTTTGTTTGGGATGAAAAAAGCATATGGCGTTCTGGGAGCCCCCAAAGCTGTACCCTAGAAGCGGAAGCAGTCGCTTCTTTTCCTGCCAGAGAGCAAGGCTGTCACTAGCCAAGGACTTGCGGCTTGGGGGGCGGCAGGGTGTGTGTGTGTGTGTGTGTGTGCAGTGGAGTACTTAGAGAGAGGTGGGGAGTGTGGACACAACTACACCTGCCCACCCCATTCCCTAGGTTCCTCACCTGGCACCACCTCTCCAGGTGCATAGCTCTGAGCTCCCCTGGGCTGTGAGCCCTGCCACCCATTTCATGGCGAGGGAAGTGCAGGCTGATTCTCTGCCACTGCCAATGCTGTGAGGGCTGCAGCAGAGGCAGAGGTGGGGCACTTCTCCACAGTAGTGTAGTTAGGAAGGGGAGGGGAGGTCAAAGCTCCATCATGCAGGACTGACTGGCTGACCTCCGGTCTTTTCACCTGAGGAGAGACTGAAGCCCCTCGGACAGCAGCACACACCTTTCCTGCCCAGCCTGTGTGGGTGAGTGAGGGAAGGGCGGTGAGGGGCAGGGGCCGCACCTCACCTCAGCCCACCAGGCGCAGCGAAGGGACCTGCCTCGCTTTCCCCAGCTCAGTACAGTGGAACCTTGTGTTATGTACTGTCCTCCTTGTGAACACTGCGAGTTACGAGCTCCGCTAACCTGGAAGTAGATGCCCCTTGTTGTGAACTTTGCCCCGGGATGTGAGCAGAAGTCACGCACTGGCAGCACGGCGGCAGCGGGAGGCGCCATTAGCAAAAGCACGCCTCATGTTACGAGTTGTTTCGGGTTACAAACGGACCTCTGGAATGAATTAAGTTCGTAACCACTGTATTCAGTATCCAGTATCATTAATATATAGTTATTGCATAATCATGATAATACACACCTAATGATACTGAAAATAGAACCACTTAAGCACATTCAATGTTAATTGGCTTTTGATGGCTCCCATTAAGCAGTTTGGGAGAGGGTTGCTATATTTTATCAACAACTAATGTATTTCATAGAGAAAGGGAGTGGCAGGGTTTAAAGCAGTATGCACAAAGTTATTTCATCCCTTCACAGCCCTTGAAGAGTCGAAGAGGAGAGCTGATAACCATATTCAAATGTCTAAAGGGTTGCCACATGGAGGATGGAGCAAACTTGTTTTCTCCTGCTCCAGAGTCTAGGACCCAAACCAATGGATTCAAGTTACAAGAAAGGAGATTCAAACTAAACATCAGGAATAACTTTCTGACAGTAAGAGCTGTTTGACAGTGGAACAGACTCCCACAAGACATGGTGGACTCCCTTTCCTTGGAAGATTTTAAGCAGAGGTTGGATGGCCGTCTGTCATGTATGAGCTAGTTGAGATTCCTGCAATGAAGGCGGCTGAACTATATTACCCTCAGGGCCCAACTCTACAATTCTAAGATTCTGTGATTCACTCCTGAAACTCTGGGACCTTTTGGAGCAGTGTCTGCTGCTAGAGTCAGAAACTGATTGGAAAGGAAAAGGAAAAATAGAGAAGCTCTAGTATAGACACCCAGGATTCTACAGATCCCCGTATAGCAGATTATTTTGGGTGGGGGTGGCGTGGGTGGGTGTTGCATAACTTTAAAACGCTGTTATCAAATTCAAGCATTTGGTGTGAGGCAGGGTACAAAAAAAGAAGAAAAAAGAATAAGTTGTCCTGGTAATATATGTTTATGAGCAAATAATAATAATGCAAAACTGCTTCAACACAAACATATGTTTGCAACTGTTTTCTTCAGTCAGGGTTTTATCTTTAAATAAATTATGAACATGATCCAAGGCTGTTTTCTGCGTAAGCTGCTTGATCTTTCCCATTTTGCTACTGATCCTCAGTATAGCTGATCTTGTAAAATAGGGCAGGAGGGGAAAACACAAAGTGGCTTTTATGGATACAGAGCAGCTGTTGTGCTCCTAAGACACTGGCATACGCTTCAGAGACAGAGATGAGGAAAAATTATCTTCTCAGTGTATCACTGGCCCATGGGTTGCAGATTACCCCAGTCAAGTATGGTAACTGTATATGAGCACACATCTTGCTACTGCCAGCCTTATAATGAGACAGGCAAGCAGAGCGGGAAATGCAGCCCAGGGGTATCTGGTGAGAGGCAGGAGACATATGTGAACTGCTTCCTTGGTACAGCAAAATGTAGACTGGATGCTCAAATTGTCAAAGTTTTCTACCATTGGAAAGGGACACTTGTGGATCTGTCCCTGTACTTCCTATCAAAAATATTAATCCACCCATGTTCAAGTGGAATAAATGACAGGGAAGAAGTTCAGAGTGGGAAACACTCTGTGATGCTCTGTTAAATGTTTTACTTTTTTTACTCACTGAAGCTCTTAACTTTTGAATAAAAATGAGCATGCAGTCATTTCATAGGTATGTCATAGAATCATAGAATTGTAGAGTTGGAAGAGACCCTGAGGATCATCGAGTCCAGCCTCCTGCAATGCAGAAATATGCAGCTGTCCCATAAGGGGATCAAACCTGCAACCTTGGAGTTATCAGCACCACACTCTAACCAACTGAGCTAGCCACTTGGACAGTGTTTTCATATTCAGGTGTTGAACAAAATATTTAGATTCGGCTCTTACTAGAATTTCAATAGAGAGTTATTAATAGATAAAAGAGAGGTATTTGATAAATCTTATACAATGAGGATGGGCAACATATTGCAGAAGAAAATATCAAAGTGGCCAATGTTGAATCAATTATTTTCTTACAAACTAATTCTTTCCATACTACAAACAAAATTAGCCCACATTTCAAAGAGACTTGATAATTCCTTATAGAACAGATTCAGTAAGGGTTAATTAGGACTTTGCCTTTGAAGAATTTCTATACTGTTCATTTGTAATAAAACTATTATTTTAATAAAGAGACTGCTCATTAACTTGTGTCTCCGTTCAACAAACACGGCTTTAACAAATACAGTATCTTTAATAAGGTGTTACCGTGCACAGTAGCAGATTAGTACAACTTCTTTTCAAGTACACAACCACAACTTTCATGGCTCACCATGTTCAACAACTGAAATTCCTCCCTGCAGCAACTAAAATCTAAGAAAATTGTTCCCGTATGTCAGTGCCAGCTATTCCATTTACTAGAGCCTTGAGACTGCCTAACGAAACAACAACTCCAGCTCATCATAGAGAAGTAGTAAAGTAGCTTATCCATATCCGAAAAGTACTCTTTGCCTTTACTCATTTTTCCTCTTTTGAAGTACACAGTAACTGTTGATATATTCACATAGCTCAGTTTGATTCAACTCCCCTCCAAAACTCTCTGTGTTGGCACAAGTACAAAATAAAGAATTCTATACTAATTACAAATCTCACAAGCTTGCTAGAGCTTTTAATATTGTATTCAAATATGCCTAGGGGCCAAACAACATTGCCCCAGGAGAACAGCAATTGATCTATTGTTGTTTTTTCCCCTCTTTGAAATGGTGGAGGACTGTTTATTGATTGTGGAAGTGGTGATGTGACTAGGGACATTTACTGCTGCCCTTGCAGAGTTTCTCCAATCTAAATCCCACCTAGCTTCCATTTGTATTGCAATGGGGTGCACATTTAACAGTGGAATCCAGCCACGACACAGACACTTGAATTTCCCCATAGTAAATAGCACCTTGAGAAATTTAGATTGGGAAGATGCGCATTGCTTCTCTCACTCATATATTCTCAACAACAAATAAACCACATCATGAAAAAAACAATGAATTGTTTATTTCTTCTATTTACATCAATCTATTCTGCAAAATAGAAATATCAAAAGAAATATCAACAATCTCAGATATGCAGATGACACAATCTTGATGGCAGAAAGTGAGGAGGAATTAAAGAACCTTTTAATGAGGGTGAAAGAGGAGAGCGCAAAATATGGTCTGAAGCTCAACATCAAAAAACGAAGATCATGGCCACTGGTCCCATCACCTCCTGGCAAATAGAAGGGGAAGAAATGGAGGCAGTGAGAAATTTTACTTTCTTGGGCTCCATGATCACTGCAGATGGTGACAGCAGTCACGAAATTAAAGGATGCCTGCTTCTTGGGAGAAAAGCAATGACAAACCTAGATAGCATCTTAAAAAGAAGAGACATCACCTTGCCAACAAAGGTCCGTATAGTTAAAGCTATGGTTTTCCCAGTAGTGATGTATGGAAGTAAGAGCTGGACCATAAAGAAGGCTGATCGCCGAAGAATTAATGCTTTTGAATTATGGTGCTGGAGGAGACTCTTGAGAGTCCCATGGACTGCAAGAAGATCAAACCTATCCATTCTTAAGGAAATCAGCCCTGAGTGCTCACTGGAAGGACAGATCACAAAGCTGAGGCTCCAGTACTTGGGCCACCTCATAAGAAGAGAAGATTCCCTGGAAAAGACCCTGATGTTAGGAAAGACTGAGGGCACAAGGAGAAGGGGACGACAGAGGACGAGATGGTTGGACAGTGTTCTTGAAGCTACCAACATGAGTTTGACCAAACTGCGGGAGGCAGTGGAAGACAGGAGTGCCTGGCATGCTCTGGTCCATGGGGTCACAAAGAGTCGGACACGACTAAAGAACAAATCTGCAAAAATTCAGATTGGTGTTTTATCTCACAAAACTCATGAAAGGTAAAGTAGACAGAGGTTGCCCATGGGTACCCAGTTTCTTTCATGACTGTACAGGAATTCCAACCGGGGTTTCTTACATTCAAAGCCAATGTTTCAGTGCCTGTTCTATGTCTACAAAACAATAAGGTCTCTAAGCTAGATAGAAAATAAAATTAATAATGCCCAAGGTTCCCAGGCTGCTAAATTTTGCATCCAGTATTCAATTATGTTCTTGTACGCTGCAATTGCAAAAAATGTAAAATGCACATTGTCCTGCAAGTAGCTTATACTAAAGAAGAGATCCTTCCAACTAAACAGTTGTTGAGGCAAGAAGATGGATAGCTTAAAGGAGGAAATAGAAGTTCTCTGGTGTATGCTTACTCAAAAAAATTGCTACAGTAACAAGTTAGCTTTGACATCCATCTTGGAAGAAGATTTGTCAACTTCTGACATCCTTACTTGCTATTCTTTTTAAAGGAAAACAATATGATCAACGTTTAAGAATTTCATCATGGTTTTAACATGCTGAATTGTTTCATCATTTGTTGTTTACCTCCCTGGGTTCCTTTGGGGGGAAGGATATAAAATTAATTAATTAATTGGTGCATATTTTTGTGCACACCTTTTGGTTTGAAAACAGCATTATAAAATGTTCAGGGAGGTGAACATTTTGAAGGGTAGGGTAGCTGCTTTTCAGTTAGTTTATTGGTTCAGGAAGTGTGAATTATGTGGTGGGGAGGCATTTCATACATTCCTAGACTCACACAACTGCATAAACATTTAAATTAGCTTTCCATACCATTAGCCAGATCACATTGAAGTCACCTGATAATGGTGCTTCTCCTGAGGGGAAGGCCTCCAGAGTAACCACTTACTACATAATCCCACCTGACACCCATAGGAATCCAATGTAGAAGTTTCCACAACGGCATTGAACCAAGACTACAAACATGTGATTTACAGAAGCAAACCACACCTCTGTGAGGCCATCTGAGCCAGCCCTTTGTTTGCTCGAGTGACAGTTGCAAATGGTCAAATTAACTGTGACTAGGATCAAAAGAAAGCACACTGAAGCTTTGTTCCAAGGCCAATTTCCTCCTAAAATAGTCAAGATGCAGTGCAGGACAGGGAACTTGTGCCTACTATGGTTGGGAAGAAGTGTGTTTCTCAGGCAGTTGCAGATCCCTTAACCGGACACACAATATGAAGGCAACACTGTTTAGGAAAGTTTTTAATGTTCGATGTTTTATTGTGCTTTTAATATTCTGTTGGGAGCCTCCCAGAGTGGCTGAGGAAACCCAGCCAGATGGGTGGGGTATAAAAATAAATTATTATTATTATTATTATTATTATTATTATTATTATTATTAGACAAACTGCCACCCTGAGGGGCAGTTTTGAATTTTTGGATGAGGGGTTGCTCTTTCTTGAGTCTTGCTTTTTAAAAGCTTGATGCAGAAGAAGGGAGGAGCTGGAGGAGACCTTTACAGGATGAAGTAAGAAAAAACCTTGGGATTTTATTTTGAGGGGCCTGAGGCAAAATACCGGTAAGTGTTTGGGGTATCAATTAATTAACTAGGAGTATCTGGCTGGAAAAATATATTTGATCTATGAAAAGAATGGAAGATGAAACTTCATTAGACTTTAGTAAAGAAATAATTTCCAATCAATCCTTTAAGAAAATTGTGTGTGTGTAACACATTCTGTCAGTATCCTACAACCTTCCTCTTGGAGCTTAAGCAGAAAGTCATCTGTGTGTGGTAATTGCACCAGACCACCTTGAACCAAGCCCAGTAGAATATGGGCAGCCGCTGTACATGTTTTACCAGAGGTGTCACATGCTGTCTGCTTCCCTTAGCATCATTGCTGCTGTATTCTACACCAGCTAGAGCTTCCAGACCAGCCCCAAAGGCAGTAGGAAATCAATTGCACTAAGAAACCCAATATCCATTGTTCTAGATACTGTGGACTGCTTTTACTGTACATTATTTTGGTTTCCCAATTGTCTCCATTTCTAAATTTCCCCATCAACATGGGGAAAATTTCTCCACTATGTACTGATATAATAATAATAATAATAATAATAATAATAATAATAATAATTTATTATTTGTACCCCGCCCATCTGGCTGGGTTTCCCCAGCCACTCTGGGCGGCTTCCAACAAAGACCAAAAATACACTAAAATGTCACACATTAAAAACTTCCCTGAACAGGGCTGCCTTCAGATGTCTTCTGAATGTCAGGTAGTTGTTTATCTCTTTGACATCTGATGGGAGGGCGTTCCACAGGGCGGGTGCCACTACCCAGAAGGCCCTCTGCCTGGTTCCCTGTAGCTTTGCTTCTCGCAATGAGGGAACCGCCAGAAGGCCCTCGGCGTTGGACCTCAGCGTCTGGGCAGAATGATGGGGGTGAAGACACTCCTTCAGGTATACTGGACCGAGGCCATTTAGGGTTTTAAAGGTCAACACCAACACTTTGAATTGTGCTCAGAAACGTACTGGGAGCCAATGTAGGTCTTTCAAGACCGATGTTATGTGGTCTCGGCAGCTGCCCCCAGTCACCAGTCTAGCTGCCGCATTCTGGATTAGTTAGTTTCCGGGTCACCTTCAAAGGTAGCCCCTCGTAGAGCGCATTGCAGTAGTCCAAGCGGGAGATAACTAGAGCATGCACCACTCTGGCAAGACAGTCTGCGGGCAGGTAGGGTCTCAGCCTGCGTACCAGGTGGAGCTGGTAGACAGCCTCCCTGGATACAGAATTGACCTGCGCCTCCATGGACAGCTGTGAGTCCAAAATGACTCCCAGGCTGCGCACCTGGTCCTTGGTGATTTTAAATCATCATCATCATCATAAATTTTATTTGTACCTTGCTCTCCCCAGCCGAAGCCAGGCTCAGAGCGGCTAACATCATACATACATTTTTAATTAAAGAAACAAATTATTGGTAGAGTAG